TGTCGAACGACCGAATTTAAATATCTTAATTAAGGGTTAATGTATTTCGAGGCCAGGCGAAATGTTGTTCAGGACATGGGCACTGAATATCCCAATTTTCACAGCTCCAGATTGCATTCAACTCCAACTGGCGTGTTGACACAGTGTCTAAGCGGTTCCGTTCGAGAACAATCATTGCCTTACTCACGAATTCCCTTGAGTAACAAATTTACAACGCATTCCCTCAAACTGGGGTTGCACAGTCAGTAGAGCGCTGACTCCGAACTGATAGGTCCTAGTCCGAGAAACTCACTCATCTTCCTTCAGAGTTTGATAAACGAGTGCCACTCTGTCGGAAGGAAACGCTACGCTTGCTACACAGCTATAGATTCTGTCCTCAAAATGAGACATTTCTGACGATGGCATAGAAACGGAGTTCAGCACTACGCCATCAACTTCATAAAAAGAAGGACGCCAATTTAGCCCAATCATGAAAGTGAAGGAAGACCGACATTCTAATGGTGACAAGCTTTCCATTCCTTTCCAACGCTAACTATTGGATACTTCGGTTCATTAATGCTGAATTAGTTAATTGTTTTCTGGAAGATCCCATTTTATTTTGCTGTCTTGAGTGTACAACTGCAATATCATCGCTGTCCGCCGACAGTACAGAGCTGTTTTGTCTGTCAGTCGTCGTATTCACTGTGTTTCCAGGATTTTCAAAGAGCCTGCAGATCAAAATATATTCATTGTGCATAACCTCAGTGAGGGATATTGCAGGCGATGATGCTCTGTTTTACACCCTTGTGATGGTTATGACACTGGGTAATTGACTACCAGCTGGGCCCAGGAGAACTGCAATTATAGAAGGCGCTCGCGTCAGACAGAATAGTCGTACTTATTGTCCATTTTGGTATGGCGACACCAGAGTATCATTCAATCCGCGTTGTTCGAAAGTCATCGAATTGCTGCCCGTTTGTCGGCTGACGGCACCGAAGCAAAGTCTGGAGAATTAGCGGTTATGAAAAATTCATTCCTTCTCTAAGGATTCGAACTCAGCACCCTCGGAGTTCGAAGCCAATCTCTTGTCGCTGTGCCACCGTCTCCATTTTCATAACTGTCATTGTTTATTTAATGTTTCATTGCTTTGTTTGGGAAAAAGATATCGCATTTTTCTGATCAACCAGTTCGCGCAACGAGTAAGTTTCATCTTTGTCTTTTCTTTCTCGTTTTCTTTTTTCCAATTTCATCCTTTCCATTATCATCATCATCTTCCTCTTCTTCTTATTCTTCTTCTGTTCCTTATTCTTCGTTTTCTTCTTTCCTTCTCTTGGTAGAAAATATTTCCTTCTCTAGTCAAATGTTTATTCTGCTGCAAATATGCATATCCATCTTCGCGATTTTTTTGGGTAATTAAATTAATTAACAGAGATCTCGCAGAATGCATCATATACGGTGGGAAACATTCATACATACGCATTCAAGATAATTTTCGTTGACACTTTCTTTTTATGCTTGATCCATTTGTTCCAGCCTATGCTTAGTTCAGTAGGATCGTAAGGGTGATTACTGCTCAGTACAGAAAGTACAGTAGCAATGAAAGTAATTGATGATGGCATGACATGTGGTGAGTCACAGATCATCCAAGAGAGAGAAAGAGAAATAGCTGAGAAACAACGTATGAGCATCGAACAAAAGAGAACAATGAAGGAGAAGGAGGCATTGAACAGAATCAAAAATGT